TTCCAAATTGGATGTATTTTATTTACTTTTCTTGCCTAATTGCTCTGGCTAGAACTTTTAATACTATGTTAACTAGAAGTGGTGAAAGCTGGCATCCTTGCTGTGTTCCTATTCTTAGAGGAAAAGCTTTCAGTCATTTACCATGAAGTATTATGTGCTATTCATATATGGTGTTTATTCTGTTAAGGTAGTTTCCTTCTGTTTCTAGCTTGTTGAGTGTTTTTATCATGAAAGGGTGTTTCATTTTGTCAGGTGCTTTTTCTGCATTGAGATGATTATATGTTTTTCTCCCCTTCATTCTGTCGATGTGGTTATTACATCGGTCAGTTTTTGTGTTGAATCATCCTTGCATTGCCGGCATAAATCCCACTTGGTCATGTGTGTAATCCTTATAATATGCTGCCAAGTTCTGTTTGCTAGTATTTTGTTGAGGATTTTTGCACCAACGTTTATAAGAGATATTGGTATGTAGTTTTCTTGTTCTGTCTTTGACTTTAGTATCAGGGTAATGCTGACTCATAGAATGAATTGGGAAGTTTTTAGCGTACTTTTTGTTATGATTTGACTTTTTAAAAAATGTAAGTCATTAATCTTTCTGGGTAGTGATATAATATAATGTGGAGAAACAAATTTAGTTTTTTATTATTAAACAGTTAAAAATGAAAAATTAAAATAGAATATGTTCAATTCTACAGTGATAACTGAAATCTAAATGAAATGAATCCTGAACAATATAATAGTCCACCTAGTCTCAAGACATAAGTAACTCGAATTTATTAATACCACTGAAAAAGTTATATTGGTTCCAAAGTCAGCTTCAGAGACAAATGTTTTACTAATGAACTCTTCCAAATTTTTAAGGCATGGATAATTTAGTATATGAAAATATTAGAACATAGAAAGTGGGAAATTGTAAAACTTTTCAATTTTTTAATAAAACTAGCATAATGATATCAAAACCTGACAAATTAACAGAAAAAAAGAAAATGCCAGACTAACCTAATTTATCAACAAGAAAACAAAAATCCTAAGTAAAAAAAAAAAAAAGTAAATCAAACTTGAACAATTTATCCCAGAAGAGATCATGTAATAGTGAGAAATCTATTAATACGATACATCACTGAAGAAAAGGAGGATGAATAAAAATAGTGGCTATTGTGGCTTATTTTATAAAAAGTAATATGGGCGTATCACTGACTGACAAATCACCAATCTTTTTTTTTTGTTTTGTCATTTATAAGCAGCATATACATGAATGTCCATTTTAAACCCATTTTGAGCAACTTTAACAATGGACTTTAGTTCATTTATATTTTTCATTACCAGTATAATTGATCTTACTTTATGTTGTTTGTTATTTTTGTTATAGTCCCTGCTTGGTTCTGTGCTGTTTTTTTATTGTCAGTGTTGGGTTCACTTTTTCTTCAGTGATTTGCTATACATCCAGTTTTAATGTTTATCGTGGTTATTTTAAAGTTATTCAAAAAACTCTTTAATCCATATTTCTATACTAGTCAAAGTCAACAGTTAAACAGATTTCTTTTTTTCCCCTCCTTAATGTAAAATAAAGAATTTTGTATGCTTTATCTCTCCATTGCCTTATGTGTAGTTAGTTACTTGGATAATATCTGTGTTTTTGGACCCTACTTATTTATATTATTTAGATCTATCTCTATTTTTAACAGCTTTCAGTGGTCTTCACAGACATATATATATATAATGGCTTTTCCATTTTTAAGTTTCTAATTTTGATTCGTGGGAGCTTAACTGGATCATTTCTTTAAGAAGTTCTCTGAAGGAGGATACTTCTTGAATAAATCATATTTTCCTGAGCCTTTATATATTTAGTAATATATTTGTGGGCCTTTAGACATTTTTTTAAATTGAGAATAAGAGTTTTGACTCAGGATTTCTCTCTTAAAACTCTGAAACTTGGTTTCATTGTTTTCTGCCATTTAACATTGCAAAGAAATTTAAAGTTGCATTTTTTCTTCAGGTTATTTAGTCTTCCTTCTTGTATGGTGTTAGAAATTTTGTTTTATCCATGTAATTAAGATTTGCCTAAGATTTTTCAAGGTATAAAACTTTCTTCATCGATTATTGCCTGACATTTAGTGATCTAAAAGTTGACTTTTCATTCAAGAAAGTTTTCTTCAGCTTCATCTTTGCTTATTGATTCTTCCCATTTTTGTTTTATCCTTAGGAACAATTGTATTTCTTAGCTTACAGCTCCTTTCTGTCTCCTAGAATATCATATGTCTAATAGTTTTCTTCTCTAATTTTACTCTGCTCTGAGACATCTTTTTAAAGTTTGTATTCTATATCACTGTTATTTTTACCCTTGTTTCCTCCAATGTGATTTTAATTTTTAATTGTTTTTCATCTTTTCACCTTGGTCTGTCCTTTAACTCTCTACTTCAACAATAAGAAACCTTTGTATACTGTACCAATGCCAAATAGTTTTATAAATTTTGCTGTGATTTCTATTTTTAGATGACATTCCTCTCTTCGAATCATCAGAATGCTGTTCCCCAGGAATGTTGGCCAAAAGACAATCTATGTAAATTGTCCACAGCCGTACATTTTTCTCAACTTTTTGATCTACAGCTCAACAGGTTTTACGTATCTTTCTTAGCTCAGTTTCCAGGGTCTTTAATGGGATTTTCTTCTCCTTCATTGCTGGGTTATGTGCTATTCTGAACAGGTGAGCATGCAGAAAAATGATAGCCTCAGATTCAGATACTCACTTTTAACAGAGGTCCTTACCATCTGTTCCACAGACAGCGTTTTACATGGTTTACTTTTTTTTTTTTTTCTTTCCAGCTTTCCTTCCTTCCTTCCTTTCAGGATGTATTTTACTGCTACGAACTCTTCTCTATTTCTTGCTAAATTGTTTTCTGGGAAATTTAATCTGACTAGAACAAGAAACAGGGTAATAATGGAGTGAGAGGGACAACAGGAAATATCGCTGGCTGCTATCTCAAAAAAGAGTGACATTCAGTAGGGAAGCAGCTGCATAGTTTTCTAGTAGTATGTTTCTGAGTCAGAAGAAAATAGAGAGGAGATAAGAATCGTCTTATCTACTTGCATATGGCTTGTTCTCTCTCACAGTGTAACTGATGGGTATTTCCATTTTTGTCCCATTGGCTTGCAGTACCTCAGTTTATTCATTCATTTTTTTTTCAATCAGTATTTTTGAGTTCTCTTGTTACGTGTCAGGCACTTTGCTAGGTACTAGTTATATATAAAGTTGAACAAAACTGTTTCTTCTTTAGTTGCTTTCAGACACAGTTTCTGGACTTTGTCATTAATACATTTTGGTGATGGTGTGATGTTTTGGTTCCCTGTTCCTTTTTTTCTTAAATATTTTCTGGCAAGTTGAGAAAGGCTGTATTAATAACTGTAGTCCAGATATCAGTTTAAATTCTTTCTCCATATGCAGTTGTTCTGGATCCAGGACATAATTTGAATACAGTGTTCATTATCCCGACCTTAAAATATTACTTCTCTAATACCTCTCATCACAATTTACTACTGTTCTCACCTTTCTTCTTAAATTTTCTTAACTTTCTTAGATGAATAAAATGATCACATCAACAAAATAACCATGTTTTATATGATGACCTCAGCAAATGTTTTGGTGTGATAGCACTTTAGCTTATTGTAAGTTTTCATTCTGAAAAACATTCATATCTTTTTGAAAGGCTAACAATAAATTAGGTGACAACAGATGAATAATTCAGTTGGTTTTTAAATTTATTATCTGGCATTTATTATTGAAAATAAAATTGGAGGGACTTGATTCTTCTTACTACTTTTACATAAGCAAAAACAGGTAATTTTTGTATGATTCTTATATTTAGAGAAAATGTATTATAGAACCTTTTATACTTAATGCTTCCAGTAAATATTAATGAGCTTTTAACCCCCCCATCACAGAATTTAGCATGTAAATAGACAGGAAGCACAGAGTATACATAGACCTATAAGTGTGAAATGTAATGTATAAAGCAATTGTTTAATTTTAAGTAAAGCTATAAGAGCAAGATAGAATATTGACATAATTTGGATAGTTAACATATTCATTATATAATTTGTAACAGTTATTGTTGAGGAAAAGGAATTTTGAGCAAAACTGGATCTGGCAGTGATAAGTCACATCTCATTTTAATTTCCTAGGCTGCCCAGTATTAAAAAAGAAATGTTCTTTGTACAGTTGGGGCAGAATTACATTTATAAGATTGTAGTCATCTTGAGGGTAAAAGCTGTTTGTGCTACAGGATGTTATAGTAAAAGAGGTTTGTTGCTTTCGATGAAGATAGAACAAATCCTTAGAGAGAAATACAGTATCTTCCTTAGCCAATAGTAAGTTTAATAGTAATATTTGTTTTAAAGGTAATGGTCAGAATTTGGAAGTATTTTCATGTTAGCTATACCAGTCTCACCCAGTTTTTTCACACCTGGGATTAATTGTGTTAAATTTATTACTGTATAGGGGGAGGGGAACAGTGTAGAGTATGTTGTTCACAGATCTTTCCACCTAGGGATTAGAAGTCTTCTGCCCTCCTCCCTCACTATACCTACTATCTGCAAAGAGATCCCAAAGCCCTAAACTACATGCTGTCTTTAGCAGAAAATCAGGCTCAGAGAATTTGCTGTTTGTATTGATCCTGTAGTTAATCATACTAGTCTAATAGCATTTTATATTCACATTGCGGTTAATTGGTGCATTATAGTTTTTTTTGTAGTGGAGGTAGATTAGTGTTGCTGAAAGATTTAATCTTTCTGTCCATTGGACACTTGCTGAGTACTAAGTTTGATCTGTTTTCTACAGGTTTGATATTTCAAATTTGTTTTGATTATTTGTGTTGTCCCTGAATAAAAGGATACTTAACATGCTTTCCCAAAACTTTTTTAAAGCAATCAAGTTTATATAACATGTAACTTTAATTTTAAACTCATAAACTCTCTGTTTATAATAATTGGTATGCTTGTTTTAGGGGCCACCTACAGATGCTCCTGCAGTGGACACAGCAGAACAAGTCTATATCTCTTCCCTGGCACTGCTAAAAGTAAGTATTGAATGGAGTTAACTTGCTTTAGAAAGCTCTGTTGTTTTCACTGTATCTTTTACTTTGGAATATTTGTCACCTTAACCCTCTCAGACGAAAGCTCTTGTTTTAGGTACGTCTGTAAAGTAGAGTGTTTTATTTCCACTGAAACAAAATTAGGTTTCTAATTTAAAAAAAGAAAAAAAGGTCTAAGATTTCAAAGCTTTGTTGTCCACATATCTTCCTCTTACAGATGTTAAAACATGGTCGTGCTGGAGTTCCAATGGAAGTTATGGGTCTGATGCTTGGAGAATTTGTTGATGATTACACCGTCAGAGTGATTGATGTGTTTGCTATGCCACAGTCAGGAACAGTGAGTACTTTTATAGTTGCCTGCTGCAAGTAAATGTGTTTCTTTTCCTATGTAAAATAAATTTTATCATATTTTCTTTTCCTCATAGGAATAATTGATTGTAAGATTAATGATAGAAATTTCTAGATTGTATTGAATTAAATTTTTCATGTTTTAAATGCATCATGAATTCCCTGTAAGTCCACAAACTGAATGATATAACATAAAATCTGTTTACTCTTACCTTCAGCTTAAACTAGCACAGCATACTGGATTTATAAGTTAGTTACCCTAAAATAGTAGGATATTAATTTGATTCGTTTGAACGCATGGTTCAAAAGATTTCAGAGACTCTCTTAATTAGATTTTAATTCACATACATATCTAGTCCTCATGTTTTGCTCCTTTTGTTTTGAAATATGGCCTTTTAAAAAATGTTCTACATATGGTAATAAATGACTCTTTAAATTTCTCCTATTCAGAATGCTAAGTTAAAAACTCCTGCTGTGTCCCCTGCAGGAGTTTTTTTGCCCAGGGTTTTTTTTGCCCAGGTATGATCATTTGTTTATAGAAGAAATATACTCCATATAGACTTTGAAAGTCATCTATTCTACCTGTTTAGAATCATTGTTCTTTCCGGAATATTTTGGTTTTTTTGTTTTGCTATTTTGTTCAATGCATTGAACTTGTGTAGATAGATGTGCATTTAGATTTTTAAAAAATGGCCATAAAACAGTAACCAATCTACCTACTTTCCAAAAAACAACATACATGTCCTTCTCATCTCTTTACCTAGAAAAATATGATATATATATATATAGATATTTTTATTATAGATGTTTGTTGTCTAATATTCAACCTTTCTGTTATTGAGCCTTATTAAAAAAAAACGGGATTAAAGAAATTGTTAGCTGTTTGCTCTATTGGAGACTCTTTAAGTTACTTTAATAAAGTAGATGTTAGAGAAAAACAAATTTTATTTTTAAACAGTGCAATATATATGTATCATTATAACAAGCACTTCAAATGGAATCGTTGCTACAGAATGCGGTGTATTTGGAAATAATGCAAAATATAGAAAAATATGCAAATTTTTCTCTAATTAAACCAGTTTGTTGAGGTAAACTAGTTTGGATCTGCTGATTTCATCCACCTGAATGGATGCTCATTGTATTTATTTTGTACCGTGGACACAGAGAAATGCACTGCATATTAACTATTTAGATTTGAATCTTAGACTATATTTGTATCTACCTTTTCATGTCAGAATATGTAAAACACATAGTAGAATTACTGTTATATGTGGTCCTTATGTGCTTATCCATTATAATAAAGAGTTCTTAAGCTTTACTATCATTCTGAATAAATGTTTGAATATATAAAATAGAACATTTTGATCCCCTTGTTCACTATGTGGTAGAATTAAAAAGTTTTCTTCTGGCCGGAGTTAGGAAACTTTTTCTGTAAAGACATATGTCTCTATCTCATATTCTTGGTGGTGTTTTTTTTTTTTTTAACAACTCTTCAAAAATGTAAAAAAAAAGAAAAAAAAAAATCTTAGCCTGTCGGCAGCAGATTGCATACCCCTGTTCTTGAGTACACACTCTCAATTAGAATTCAAAATACTGTTTGTTTTGGTGAGAAGAAAGTGCTTATGTTAACTGGTTTGTTTAAGTAGATTAGACTTAAATTCCTGATGTTAGAAAGCCTTGTGGAAGCTATAATAGCAGTGATGTATCACTAAAGAGATGATATGAATGCCTTTAATAGTTCCGTGTTCTAAAATCTTTTGGTTGAACTGGCAAAATATTGCAGTATTTAAAAGACTTGGTTATAGATTGTCTGTGGTGGGGAACTTTTTTTGAATGCTTTTATATTTGAGATAATATTCAAAAGTATATATTTTCTTCCAGCCCCCTTATCTACTAAGTAGTCCTAACAGAAGCACTAAACTTCCTTTTCTTCCAACCCACACACCCCAAAAACAACTATATGAAACTAATAAATTATTTTCCTTCTTCAAAGTGTTTACTGAAAAAAAAAAAAAAAAACCGACTTGAAACTGTTGTCTGTTATAATAGTTGAATAGTTATAGAACTTTAGGTGAGATGCTTATCAGTTATCAGAGGATGGCATTAGGAACTATACTTGCTTAGACAGGTCTAACCAAAAAATAGTTAAGTTATTTGCTATTTCTGGTATATGTGTGTACATACACACGTACACACACACACACCACCCCCTCATGGCCATGAACTCTTAAAGGATCCTGAAAATTGTCTTAACTCATTAGCTAATAGCAGTTTAGTACTTGGCAATTTTAGAAGCTTTATTGATGTACGGTTTATCATTGAATGACAAGAGTGGGTAGCAAATATGATTATCAAAACCTATAAAATTATTTTGGTATCTCAAAATAATATACATAGGGTTTTTTGGTAGCTTTTTGTTCATTTACATTATAATATAAAGTTTTGTTGTCGTAGTTATAAAAGCCAATCATTTTTCTTTCTTTCTAAACCAGGGTGTCAGTGTAGAGGCAGTTGATCCAGTGTTCCAAGCCAAAATGTTGGATATGTTGAAGCAGACAGGAAGGCAAGTATTTTAAATGGTCATAATATGGGATAATAGAAAATATTTTCAGAAATGTATCTCAAAATTTTGGATGTTTATGAATATTCCAGCCATGTAGTTAATGTAAAAGTATCACTGTCAGTGCTACGTACCACCTATCTAGTCTCTCTTCCATCTAGATTCAGAGAAATTGGCCAGTCAGAAAACTGCTTCGTGCTAAAATCTCAAGCCAGTACATAGTAAGCTCGGGCTATAGCTTCCTTTTGTTTAGCATACAGAGTTACTCTCTAGTCACTATAATTGAAAGAGCTTGTATGTTCCATGTATTTGAGAGTTGCAACTGAGTAAGATTCTGAATATTTAATTATATTTGTAGGCATATGACTTTTAAAGACAGGGCAAATAAAATCCAAGTATTCTTCAGGTTTTCTCCCGCAGTTTAAATTTCTCAGTAGTTGTCATTCTCTTGCTCAAATTCTTCTGCTGTGGAAAAAACTTCAAAATTAATGTTAGCAAAAGGCTCAGCAGCTGAGCAGAACAGTGCAAATTGGTTTTTGACTGAGTTCCTAGTTCTACTGCTGGTTTAATTGATATTTAATCCTTTCACAACAGTGGATCCTGGTGTCCATTGTTAAAAATGTACTCTGCCTGGAAAATCCAACTCCCAGAGCTAAGGAGTTAAAGAGTAGATATTTACTTGAATGCTGAAAGGGTAAAAACTGGCTCTGAGAAAGTGTGGTAACAAGGTGAAAAACTGAAAGCCTTATCTACCACTGCTAATGTGCATCTCTTAATGATAGCACTCCTTTGTCACACTTATTCATTTCCATGTTTTCTGGATAATATGGTGTATGATTTCAGTGTTTCTAATGGTGCTTTTTCACACCTGTGTGTTTTTCATCTCTTCTTAATTTATACCCTGTTAGTGTGTTGTTTCTTTTCATATCATAAATATATTACTTGTTCTGTTCTGAACGGCTGAATGCCCTCTTTGTTTCAGGCCTGAGATGGTTGTTGGTTGGTATCACAGTCACCCTGGCTTTGGTTGTTGGCTTTCTGGTGTGGATATCAACACTCAGCAGAGCTTTGAAGCCTTGTCGGAGAGAGCTGTGGCAGTGGTTGTGGATCCCATTCAGAGTGTAAAAGGAAAGGTAGAGTAGATTCTATCTTTATTAGTATCCGCTGCCACATTCTGTATATAGATACATTAAATAAAAACCTATTTTGTTTAAAGCAGAATTCTTAATTACACAAAAACCCCTGTTTACTTTAAAAAACTGTATAAGTTGATAAATGTCTTGGTATTATTTAGAGATTAATCAGCTATTATCTAATCACAAAGGTTTACCTTTAATTTTTAATTTCATAAATTTAGGAATGTTAAACCATACTAGAAGCCTGCTATACACATTTCATTAGTATTTTAATGAACATTACCTTCCTTTATTTTACAGTGGTAAATTTGGGATCGGCATATTTTGAAAATCTAGTTAAAGAGCTATTTTGCAGACATTGTGCAGGACATTCTCTGGAGTTGTATGTTCCAAATATTTTAGGCAATGAAAACTTGCCCCAAAGACTTGGTATCAATCATTCCCATTTTTAGAGTGAGGACACAGATGAATGATTAAATATGCTAAATGATTCTGAAAAGAGATTAACTTGCAAAGCACATTGGGTTATAGTTCTTTGTTGAAATCTTTTGTTCTTGTTCTTGTTCTTGTTCTTGTTCTTTTTCCTTCCTTCCTTCCTTCCTTCCTTCCTTCCTTCCATCATTTCTTACTTACTGTCTACGATCCTGTTCTTTCTTTCTTTCTTTTTTTTTTTATTTCTTTCTTTCTAGCCCCATATGCCATTTTCCTATTTCCTGCCTCATGACAGCAGGGAGCAGCTCTATTATCACCTTCACAGAGCTGTCTGCAAATGTGAGAGGCAATTCGATTTTGCTCAACCACAGGGAGAGTGGATTAGAAAAACTACAGAACATACAGAAATTGGCTAGGTGGTTACTGCTTTAAAATACTGCTGAGGTGTCTTGTTTGAGCATGTACTTCCATTGTAGTGTAGAATAATTGTTAAAATAAAATAACAATATATTTATGGAACCCTTTTTATGCAGCTTTTACAAATACTTTTTGGATCACTTAAAAGTAAATATTAGCTTGCTGTCATCTATCAGACCTGGAGTTTAATAGTATTACAGATTACATTTACATCTGCTCACCAGCTCAAACAAACTAAATATGGCTGTTAAAACATGGAGTTTTTACTTGCCATGAATTTAAAGTTGAGCACTTTCTGACATATTATGGTGAATAAAAATCGAAGTCTTCTCTAAATCACGATCCTATTAGGTGTGATTTAGGTTTTCAGAGACAGAAACTAGCCACAAAAACAATAATAGCTGATATACTAAGCAGTTCAAAATGGATAACTTCTGATGCTGGCTGCATACCTATATGTCAGTTTATTTCCTTTTAATAAGTGTATTGTTACTTAACTGATATAGATAAAAGGAGTTGAAAAGCCTTTTATTATTTTATTATTTGACTTTTGTTATTAATTTTATGAATTAAAGTTATAGTATAATACTTCCTAAGTTTAATTCTGTAATAATTAAGGTAACTTTTTTAGTAACTTATTTAGTAATGATTATTATTTTAGAAATGTAGCAGAATTATTCAATTAAGTCTTCCTACAACAATATTTACAAATAGTAATTGAGGCTTAATTTTAAGTATAAGCGTGACTGACCTTTTATGATACTTGGCTCATGTGATGGTGGACACTTTGAAAAGGAAAATATAAACTTAAATACAATAAACGAAAGCATTCTCAAAATAGAATGTAAATAAATGAGTATATATTTTATTTTTGGTTATCTTGTTTATAATATTTTAAATGGCAGTTTTAGTTTCTAAACTTAGTTTAAGTATTATATAACATTGGAATTTACTTTGTTAAATTTCTGATTAATCATAATTCATATTAAAAGATGCATTGCATTTAAAAATACTCATCACATGACTGCTGTCATGTGGTAAATGTAGTGTTTAAAAATATGTAAAATTATGAAATCATTATTACTGTCTAGTTTTGTCATAAAAATATTTTTGAAAAAATTTAATATGAATTTGCATCATTGATGAATCACATCTATTGTTGTAGCTAACATATAGATTAATACAATTACATCACTTAAAATGAGGATCCAATTCTTTGTTAATTATGTAACTTCATCTGTAAGATGTCTGATTTTGGTTATAATTTATGATTCTCTCAATGTTAAGATCTGTTAAAACTATGAAGCAAATTAAATGCTAGTAAATCCATGGCCAGTGTTCTAGTTAAATCATTAAACTTAAGAATATACACTTGTTAAAATTAAGGACTAACATAGGACTCCCCCTTCCTCCTCTTTAACACTGGATTTCTGAAAGCTGTCAAAATATTTAGTAAGGCAATGATTAGATCAAGAGTTAAAAATGGCAGTCTATAAGAAAATGATTTAAGTTGGGTCTCTGTACCTTTTTCCTGTATATTTTATATTTTCATTTTTATAAATCCCAGTATTTCTCTGTTTTTGAATAAGATGAGCATGGATTCTTTATAATTTTAATTCATGTCTGATTTCTTTTTATGTGACTTGACTGTACCTTTGGATTTATTGCTGTGTGCCAGGTATTGTGTTGATGCCCAATTTCAACTTGTCTCATTCGTTCTTTTCAGTAATTCTGGAGATAGGTACTATTATTATTCTATTTTATCAATGAAAGGGTAACAATATTAGGCTCAAAGAGATTACTTTGCTTGAAATCATACCATTATTAAGCAGCATAACAAGGGTACAAATCTAAGTTTACAGAATTTCAGAGCCCAAGCTGGTTTACTGGCCCTTGAATATCAGACAATTATGGATGATATCATTACAGTAACTCAGGAATGGAAAATGACTACTACAGGTCATCGCAGGACCTTTTTTTTAACTTACAGGGATAGGTGTAACTCCCTTCAGCATAAATCAGAGGAAGGAGCTACACATTTTCTTTTAAGTTTTCAATAGTTCTCTACTATTTATAATAGGTATTATATAGTAATTTTTCTCAGGTAGTACTTGTTCTATTAAGTTTAAAAAACAATTTAGACAGACTCATATCTTTCAGCTTTTGTGACATCCCTAGGACCAAACATTGAGACTGATATAAATAATAAAATATATGATAAAAAAATCCATATCACTCCTTATATTTTATAATCCTGTAAATGTTTAAAAATGTTATAGTGAAACCAATGATAATAACATTCATAATTTAAATGGAGAGTAACTCATAAAAATTATCAGTAAGCTCTGCTCTAAACCTATCAGTGAAGTGGTTTTTAAGATTCTGTTTTAGTTGATTTGTAAAATATACCTATTTAAATATTTTAAACTTCAGTTCTCAAGTGACACAGTGGCATCCTTTTGCTTAATGTTTTGTTAGTTTGTATGTTCAGCCCAGAACTTGGACTTGATCCAGCAGCAGATTTAAGGGGTAAATTCACCTTGTAATAGGACTGTACTTCTTCCTTAGGGCAAAAAGAATGATCACTTGGTGTAGTCATAAGACTAGCATACAGCTATTACTACTTTTAAAGATTCATTTCATTGTCAGGACTCCTGTTAGTATAATGTTCAAATGTTACCTGCTAACTCCAAACAATTTCTGTCTCTTCTCTATTTTGAAAACATAAAAACAAACAAACAAAAAAACTAATAACCCTTTAGGCCAAATAAGTATTAACATTGTCTGGGTTATTTTGAAAACACGTTTTAATCTAATCAGAAATACTCAATGGACTTTTAAAAATGTCTTTATCATCAGTAGGTATTTCTAAAGTACACCGATGTGACTGTATGCTAACAATTTTGAGATACTAAAGAAAAAATGGCCTTTGTCTCTTTGGAAAGATAAGTCATATACATTTAGTGTTACTAATGAGACATAACATTCTGCTCATCATATGCTGCTAATCCTACATTTCATACTGATAGAATACTAATTATATTGATAAGTTTTTTTTTTTTCCATATCTAAGTATGAAATTGGTTCCTGGGGTCAAATTATTCAATAAATACCTATTCAGAACCTTGTGTGTGCCATTATGCAGTAAAGTAGTAGTTGTATAGCAAACATAGTAAATGCGAATTAAATTAGAAGAAGAGAGAAAATGGTGTAGATGAAGCTTGGACTGAGCTTTGATGGGTGGACAAGACATCACTCAAGATCTTGTACCTGTAGGGAAGAATGTAGAAACAATATCATTTCAGCTGGTACTTAGCTCTTTGTTCATTTTTTCACACATTTACTAGAATGTAAAATTAAGTAGTTCTTGTTGGCTTTTTTTAAATCAGCGTTTTACAAAAAAGATAGGACTTTGAAGAATAAATATAAATAAAGGAGAAATGAATTAGAGAATGAATGTTACAAGACCTTAGCATTTATTTTCAAATATCTAGAAGATTGTTGTTTTTTTTTTCCTCAGGGTAAAGGAGCAAATATTTTATTTAAGAAATTTTATATTAGAAAGTTTTTAAATGGTAGGGGCTTTAAACTAGTGAAATAATAGTTTCGTTTTAGCTTTTTCTTACTATATTTTCTGAAAATCATAAAGGCAGGGCATAGAGTAATGAAAGGCACAGGCTTTGAGATCAGGCCTGCGTTAGAATCCCATTTTTATCTTTTCTCTACAGCATGACCTTGAGCAAATTTACCTAATCATCCTGAGCTCCAGATTTCTCATCTATAAAACAGGAATTTTAGAAACTATCTCATAATATTATGAACGTTATGATGTGATATATGTAATGATTAGAGTGCACATGCTATAATAGGTGTGCAATAAATGGTACTTTATTATTCTGATGATTAAAATAATTGATACTTAAAAGAAATAACTAGTGTGTTTTTCAGAATATCTCTGAAAATTTTGTTGAGAACAAGTCTATAAATTAATAACTTGCTTACTTTAGGAAGATGAAGGTAATGGCTACAAAAGATATGAAAACTTTCCCTTCTTGTATTTTCTAAATCCTGATTAATTTAGGAATGCTCTTCTGACTCAGCTAATTTTATTGAGCATTTACTGTTTTCCAGCATATTTCTCTGGGACA